GATTACGGAGATTGTCGAAAATTACAACTGTATTATTATTATAATTGTACCAATTATAGATAGATTGCTTTTATTATGAGCCTATTTGAGCCATATTATTTTGAAAGAATGCATTTTGAAATAGTAGATTGATGAAAAATATGTGGTTGAAAAATAATAAAAAGTTTTGAATTTGGGTGTATTTTATTGAAGAATGTGTGGTTGAAAAGAAGAGAGAGAAAAATGCATTTTGAAAAAAATGAGGATCAAACAAAAGCTATATTTAGTTATGATTTTAGTTATATAATGAGAGAACCTCTCACACTGGAGGGCATCGAGTCTTATTGAATATATTTGACATGGTATTAGAGTCAACTCCTTATAATGTTCTCTCGTTTTCTTGGTTGGGTATTCTCATGCGATGCTCCTCCCGTCCCTCGAAATTGGAGACCACAACTTCCTCTCTATATAAATACACATATATACTCTACATATACACACCCTTAAATTCTTTACATATATTTTCCTTGTTCAAAAACCAAACCTTAGATCCCAAATATTCATGGCAATTCAACCACCACAAATCTGGAAATAATATGAAAGCAAAGTCAAGCAGCATAGAGAAGCTCTCGGTCTCTACAATGCTTGCCAGCATGGACCAAAAGCCTGATAAATCAAAGAAAGGGTCTTCTATGTCAAGCTCTACTTCTAACACGTCCAAATTGAAAGCACCTCCAAAATCATCATTTTATACTGATGATATAGATCTTCCTCCTTATGATGAAGATTATGCTGAGGAAGGTGGAGAGTGGGTCCCAGGAAAATGGATCGGTATGGTTGGGTTAGGTTTAGGTTTGCTTCAACTAAGCCGGAGAGGCACGAGGAGCAAAGAAGATCGCCGGAAGGGGAGGGGGTGATGCTGACCGTGCTCTTGCATTGGTGGCAGATGTATATCTGTGGACCACCGTCTGCAACCATGCTAATTTTTTTTTGCAGATTCTGACTTCTTTTGGTGGATGAACTGCAAACATCAGCCTATTATTGAGATTGGATTTGCATAGATAATTTTCTTTGGATTCAAAGGTTTTGGGTTGTTATTTCACCTGAGCCTTGATATATAACTAATTGTTGTTAGGTTATGGTTTTGGGTTAAGCTACGATATGGGCGGCGGCCGGTGATGTGGCCATGGCTGGCGAAGATGAAAGAAGATGACGTGGTCGCCAACGATGAATGTTTTCTATTGACGAGGAAAGCAGGAATTTTTTTTTTTTTTTTCTTTTTTTTCACAGGAGTATGAGGCGATGTAGCATTCAGCATCATCATCCACAGAGGAGTTGTCGCAGTCATTATGACACTCTTCCGGATCAAACGGCTTCCTGCGATGACTCTTCTGCTGGATGAAAGCCAGTGGCAGCGGTGGAAGCTGCCTGGGACTGCTGAATGACTGAACAGTGCTGCTCAGGGGTGTAGAGAAGGGAGGTTAGAAGTATGGGTAAAGTCATTTGGATTTTAAATAATTGGACCAGGTTATGAGTTTTTTTAAAAGCTAGGCCTGCTAGTCTGGGTTGAGAATTGAGTCTGGTTGTCTTCGTTTTTTGTGCAACGCTTCAGATAAATTAGGCATTTCTGTTAATTTTCGTAATTGCTCTATCTGGGATTATTCCTATCAAGTTTGAATGACACATTGAAAATAAAAGTGAAACTACAGCAATTACAAGTCAATACCATGCTGCCAATTGTATGGACTGAATTTGTGTGAGGTATGTTGGTTGAGGAAAGAGAAACATGAGAGTGCAGATTGTTGAGTTTTGGTTGCTCAAGTGATGAGCAAGAGTGTTCGATTTTCAGGGAAGGATCATCTTCGAATTTTTATTTTATTTATTTATTTATTTTTCTTTTTGTGTACACCGTTTCGTGGGAGTTCTTCTAACTACTACATCTCAGCATTCAGCTAGCAATATATTGTTGGATTTTTTGCTGTGTTTTGGTAGATCTGACTGAGTTCTCTCGACAGATAGGATTCACTGTGTGTGTCGGCACACTTCGTGAATTTCTTTTGAAAATTTTTACTGGGGTGTGAACTCTCTGGAGTGTCTTTTGAGTAGTTCTTAGTTGTTTCTGCACTATTTGTTATTCTTGGCCTCTCACTGTCACTAATTTTCATGGATAGTTGCTGTGATTTGAATTTCTTCTCCGTGGGCACGTATAGTGTCACCATCACCAGTTCGTGATTGCAAATTGATGCTTTTACCACTATCAATTTGAGGGAAATGTTAATGAGATTGAACAAGATTATGGAAATTGTCAAAGATTATGACTGTATTATTATTATAATTGTACCAAATATAAATAGATTGCTTTTACTATATTTAGTTACGATTTTGGTTATATAAAATGAGAGAACCTCGAACATTGGGGGGCATCAAGTATTATTGAGTATTTTTGACATCATTTTCGTTACAATGATCCATAAAAAGTCAAATTCTATGCCCATATGGATCAAATCCTAGGAATAAATTATTCTATGGATAGTTAGACGAGAGTTGATAGTAAACCTTCAAGATTATGCAAGATCATACACGAAACATCCATTATTAGGTCAACTATTGGATATAACCTATGTTGCTCGGACTCGGGTGCGGGTGTCGGATACGGGTACATATCTTGGGGTCGGATTCTTCTCATTTTTAAAATTAAGATATGAGAATACGGTTAAAAGGGATCCGAATTGTGAATACGGGTACGGGGATACGTCCTACAATTTTTTTAAAAATTGTACAATTAAAGTACACAACAACAATATTAAAGCAAAAAGGCAAATTACCACAATACAAATGTTTCATATAATGATAAAAATCCAAAACGGGTGTCGGATACGGGTACATATCTTGGGGTCGGATTCTTCTCATTTTTAAAATTAAGATATGTGAATACGGTTAAAAGGGATCCGAATTGTGAATACGGGTACGGGGATACGTCCTACAATTTTTTTAAAAATTGTACAATTAAAGTACACAACAACAATATTAAAGCAAAAAGGCAAATTACCACAATACAAATGTTTCGTATAATGATAAAAATCCAAATTCAAACAAAACATAATTCTGGAATTTTTTGATTGAATTAGATGGATTCATACTTGAAAATTAGGAGTAAGCAATATTCTGGAATTTTTTGATTGAATTTTCGATTGAAGAAAATAATTTTCTGTAGAGGACGATGAAAAGTATGTGGAGTTTTCTGGTGCAAAAATTCCAAGAAGGCAGATAAAACGTCTTTTGCAATTCCAAGAGTTGACCCATTATAGGAGGAATCTTCAAATCTGGTGCAATTTACGGGGAAAGAGACTAACTCATCAAATAGCAATTAATGCACCAGAAATTTCGTCTCCTCCAAAGCTCCAACCCTCATCTTCCCTGTCTGCCTGTTTGCAATTACCGGTTTAATGCTGCTGCCATTTTCATTCCTCCATTTCCAGCCGTGTCCAAGTTCAAAGCCGAGTATCCGACCCGTGTCCGTATCCGTGTCGTGTCGTGTTGACACGGATACTTGGCCAAAAATGGAGAGTCCGAGCAACATAGGATATAACAACAGGCTTCTAAAGATCACTTTCTTAGCATCTTATCGACTTGGCTTAAGTTTCTTCTCTGATGGCTTTCTTCATTTAATAGGATCCCATCAGTGCCCTTATTCACTTCCATCTTTGGAATGAAATAGGATCGAGACAAAACCTCAATCCTGGTATTTACACGAGATTGCTCTGTAAGAAAGTCACTAAGACGCCAAATTCTCTCCCCTAAGAGGCCAGTGTTGATTCTATGCAAAGTAAACAGAGTTACGAGGTGCCTTGTTTAAAAGATCAAAACCATCCAGGATTCCAAGGCTTTGAATGCTAATTATACTTGAAAATTCAATTATTATCGACTATATGAAACCTCATTAAATCATGAAAATCCTAATATTTCATTCTTTGCACTAACAACAAAAATGCCGAAGTAGAAAATGAAAAGCAGGCTACTGAACCCATATGGTCAAAGAAGAAAATGATAACTGCAGGGAATGAAAAATAACAAACAGCATCAACCTCTAGCATTACCTTTCTCTCATAGGAACACAAGGGCAATTCCAGAAGCCCTGCTGTGCCTCAGCATATTTATCATCGTAGTGCCTAAACAAAATAAAACACCATCCAATGTTAAAAAATTACAGTAGAAATTTGGGAAAATAGAAAAAATAAACCAAAAAATAGATTTGATTCATAAAATAAGTATCTGGAATTAATATTACCTGCATGGGCAGAGTGGTGCACCCAATGTATCCTTGTGTTCTGCCAATCCCTGTACATAGTCCCAGAGAGTGTCTTTTAACCAATGATTTGATTCAAAGAAGACAACCAATACTAGCACATGTGGTAATGCAGTTTTACCACCATCACATGTGGTGCCATCGTATTCAATTGCTAAGAACAGACCCAGTGGAGATAAATATGGGGAAGCTAATTTTGTTGACCGCACTTTAGGTATATTTGAAGGTGTTAAGTTTAGCAAGGAGCCTTCTATAAAAGTATTCAGTGAAGTTGATTCTGCTCCAGGGTATGTTTCGACCTATTTGGTAAATTTTAAATCATTTGCGAGTTTCGAAAACCCAAGATAATTCTACAGAGCAGTGCTTGGATTCATTATCGTAGTTGGAAATCGTGAAAGAGATGGAGAATTTGTTTGTTCATTGGAGAAGTTAGTTTAGTTCTTGTTGAAAAGTTCGTTTATTCATTGCAGTCGAATCTTTTCTCCAAGTGAAGAAATATTGGAGTTTTGTTTGTTTGTTGTGGAATTTGCGTCAAGGTGGAGATAGATGAACTTAACCCAACTGTCATAGAACTTGGGAGAGGCATACCTCAAAAGCTAGCCAATGAGATTGAAGAACACAAGCCTATATAAACCACATAAAGGGAGCCCATACTTCAGATGTGGGATTTAGGTACCCATACACCTCAATGGAAACCATGACAAACCACCACGCTTCCGACTCGACGTCCACGTCGAGTAGGTGCCCATACACCCTAAGTGGTAATCGAGACCAGAAGACATAGTGCCTGCTCTAATACCATTGTCATAGAACTTGGGAGAGCCATACCCCCAAAAGCTAGCTAATGAGATTGGAGAACCCAAACCTATATAAACCGTACAAAGGGAGCCCATACTTGTGGGATTTAGATACCCATACACCTCGATCGAAACCGTGACACCGACACCCAAAATAAGTTCAGGGGCAGAGCTGATTCTTTCTCCTAAACCTGGCATAACAGCTGAATATGCTGATGAACAAGCACCTCACAGGATTGATTTGTCATCTTCCATGCACAACCGCATGTAATCTTGGAATTTAGCAAATTCTCACTCCAACAGGATGGCATTTGGCAAAACAGTTGAAACCTCCTTTATGATAAAATCTACTTCAAAATGGCATTGTAGCAGAACTTGGAATTAGTGTGTGCTTAAACTGGGAACAAAAACCCTCCCCAACATAAAATCAGGAACAGAACTGATTCTTTTGCCTAAACCTAGCATAACAGCTGAATATGCTGATGAACAAGCACCCTCACAGAATTGATTTGTCATCTTCCATGCACAATCGCTTCTATTCTTGTTTGCAGCTTGTGAATCATGTCATGAAATGTTTTATTATGATCATTTTTCCAAACAAACGGCACAATCTTCATGATTTTAGAAGCTATCCAGACTGTTTGCTTGATGATATGAAGGGAGGGAGCACAGAACTTAAGGAAAAACTATGAAATTAATTCGATTTTAACAACATATTCTTGAGGAATTAGCAAGGCTATCAATAATTACTAGCAACAAATTTGATTATTTAGTTTGGAAAACTTAAATTAAACCACAATCCCTGGGTCTACCACTTCCTTGCTTCCTTAATTTCTAGTAATTCCCCAATCATCTCATTCCTTTTATCTGTTACACTAGTAGAAATGAAAAATATAAACAACCGGAACGAAGCTGATACCTTGATAACAACTGAAGTCACACCTTTCTCTACACAGAAGTACGTGCCTGACCTCCGCGCATACTGCTCCGAGAACTTTCTCATTATTTCCACGGATTTCTCCGTCGGTTCCACTACAAATTCAACTCAAATAATAAATTAAAAAAAATCACTGAATTTCTCAATAATTTCTGAAAATTTGGTAAAATATTAGTAAAATTACCTTGAGCTAATATCACATGGCGGTGCCGAGAAGGCCGCGGCGGAGGAGCGGCAGCTGAAATGCCGAATCCAACATTGTAAGAAGTGGATGCTTGAAGAGCTTTCATGGCGAAATTTTTCTCCTTTCTTAATGTTCCACTATTTATAGGAATTTAAAAATATCTGTTTTCGTGGAATTTAGAAAAAAGGATTATAGATTTTGTCTGTACGATTTGGAGGTGGCGAGTGGATCACCACTCGTTGAAGATATCTGGGGAGAAAATTCCTGAACCACTCAGTTCAGACCTTCAAACCATCACGGAACTCAATCCGAAACGGACTCGGATTCAGTTGGAGTTTGGGCTTAATTGAACTTTTGAAAGTGGAAATTACGCCCACCAAAATTTTGATTTAATTGTTTGAATACTCACTTAACTCTAAAGGTCGTCACGTTTCACTCATTGAACTTCATTTTGCACCCAATTACTCACTGAATTTTGTAAACTTGCACTCCATCACTCATCGGGTTAAATCCATTTGTACCGTTTGCCTACGTGGATGACAGTTTTAACATGTGACAATTAAATACGTCCAACTCAAAATGAATTGCCATGAGGCCTATGACATTTAATTGCCATCTCATAAGGGTGCTATTCAAATTGAAAGCGTGAGATATTTCAGAAGAACGAGACCCATTGCAGACGGAAAACATATACAACTCTGAAATTGAAAAATTCCCAGAACAGCATGAAGCCTAACCCCAAAATAAAAATGATCCGAAATTGATGGATCAATCTAGTTTCCATTAATTCAATCAAATACGCCTACAGAATCCAAATTTCATTTCATCAATATGCCTACAACATACAAACTCTATACATTTCAAAAATGTAAACATTTTTTAGCAAAAATCAATCACACAATAACGGCGTGAAACTGTTGTTTTTTACCGTGAAAATCTAGAAATTCGAATAGAAATTTCAGTTTATTTAGGTTAAATCAAAGCCTCAATCTTCAAGCATATACCACTTTTGACCAATGTTAATAAACAATCACTCAAAAATGCGATGCCCAATAAAGGCGAAAATGAAGAAATAACAATCGCGATATACCAAAATTCACCTTCGAAGCGGCCTATTTTAAGAGATTAAGTTTCCAATCACGATTTATGTGTTGAAAACGGTGAGACATGTTTGGGTCCTTTTGGATATACGATTTGGCAATTCATTGTTATGTTTGTCTAATTTAACTGCCACGTGTTAAAGCCGTCATCCACATAGGCAAACAGAACAAACGGATTTATCTTGGTGAGTGATGAAGTGCAAATTTACAAAGTTCAGTGAGTAATTGGGTGCAAAATAAAGTTGAGTGGGTGAAATGTGACGTCTCGTAAAGTTCGGTAAGTATTCAAACAATTAACTCCAAAATTTTATGCTTCGCATTTCAAAATTAAGATTTACAAATTTTTATTTCAAAATTCAGATGATAATTAAAATTTTAAATATTAATAATCATATTACAAAATTAAAAATACATACTCGTCCCACCTAGCCCTTACCTAACCAGACACACCACAACTCTAATCATTTTCATCCTTTCCATCTTCTCTCGTCTTTTTAGCCGTTCGTCGCCACCAACAAATTGTTGGCACCATCACCGAATTAATTATTTCAATGGTCACTAAATTTAGGTCATGTCTTTGATTAGCCACTGAAATTTAAAATGTTGAGTTTTGATTACTGAATTTAAGTCAATGTCTTTGATTGCTCATCGAAGTTTGAAATGTCGAGTTTTGGTCACTGAATTTTGGAAAATACTGCACGTTACTCACTAGCATAAATGTTAAACTTTGAAAAATATTGAGTCTATACTGAGTAATGTACAATATTTTTCAAAGTTCAGTGATCAAAACTCGACATGTTAAATTTCAGTGAGCAATCGAAGACATGTACCTAAATTCAGTGGCCAAAACTCATCATTTTAAACTTCAATGACAGACATGGAATTAAGTTCAATGACCATTGGAACAATTAACTCCACCATCACCACTAGCACCAGATCACCAGCACCACACTCAACCACCTCACCACAACACCACAACAAAATAATCCCCAAAGCTAAAGTTGCCGCCTCCGTCAATGCCATCACCGTCACGAATTAACCGTCTTGACCTCACTTCAACTCCATACCAAAAAAATCAAGAGAAACAAAAGAGATGGGGAACAAAGAAATGGAATTGTGCACAGTGGCGATGGGCTCGCATCGTCGTTGTAAATCCCCATTGCTTCGTCCACAACGACAACGCTACGCCTGTGGTGGTTCGACGGTTGCTCCTATTGTTGCTAGGCGTCACCGGTGGAAGTGCAAGCATCATGGTAGTTCTGTTGGTGTTGAGGTCGTCGTTGTTGTGTGTCATTTGGTTGTTGACGGTGTTGGGTGGTGGTAGTGCTTCCAATGGTGGCACAGGTGGTCATGGTGGTGCTACTTTGTGTGGATCTAATTTGTTGGTTTTTTGGACTACATTGGCACGTTTATGTTAGATCTTGTTGGTGGCAGTAGTTTTGCTAGTAGTTGAGGTAGTGGTGGTGATTTTGAAATTGAAAATGGCAGTTGGAGGTAGTGGTGGCGGTGATGGTGGTTTAGGGTTCGATGAGATAGGTGGTAGGATTAAAAGGGTTTGTGACCAATAATTTAGATATTTTGTGACTAAAAAAAATATGTGATTGATAAATTGTGACCAGTAAATAA